TATTGGACTAGGATTGAGCCAGTTCTGGTTGCAGCTAGAGAATCTCGAGTTGTGTAATTCTTAGTAGTAGTGATTTAATTCCACCAGTTTTCAAAAAACAAACACTCATTCAAATGTTTCGAATCAAAAGTCTTTATTAACTCTGAATATAAGTAATTTTATGATAATTGTAGCGTAATAGTTTTCTATCTGTGATCTATTCAAAGATTTTATAAATCAAAATATATTCAAAAAATCACGATAATAGATATTTGGGATTCCAACTCTTTAATGATTTATTATATTGGAGTATATCGTAATAAAAAGTGATATCTTCATAGGTTGAAATTGATTCAATCATGATTTAGTAGCCAATAAATAAAGCAAGTTTCGTAATACTTTAACTTTATTATTGTATTTTATTGTTCTTGTCGTTTATGTATAAATAAAAAAGGGAATCAGACAATTTAATAAAATAGAATCGAAAAAGAGGCAGATACAAAACTATTGGTACGTGAGCTGGAAATTGAGAGTAGAGGGTTTTTGGCTCACGTTTAAAGCTACACCGGAACTATGAATCTTGGACACCCTGGAGCGCTGAGAATTACAGGCTTCCCTTATTTATAGTTATCGCTTTTTAAAACGTATTTTCTGGCCGCAGGGAAACGGGTCTCGAGTAAAAAATTTTATACCCACCCTCGGTTGAATGTTTGTGCGACATACAACATCACTCGTAGGTCTCTCGAGGCAAGCAATTTCTGGAAATCAAATGGCGGTATTTGATCAGCTACTCGATAAATTTGCATATGTACAAAAAAAACTTAGATTCAATGTAATAGGTCGGGTCTTAAATACATTGTAATATGAATTCCGAAATATTTGCCTTTAAAAATGGAAAACATGTTCAAACATGGTCAGCAAATAGCGCTAGTCGAATATTACCATAATATGAATAAAGAACAAGTCATTTTAATGAATTTTCATACATTTTGTTCCTGATTATCATTGTACTACAGCTGTTCATCTTATCAAGAATTGATAAGCAACATTTTCATGAGATGGTTTTGTTTTAATAGCTGTACATTATTTATAAAATAGTTCTATCAGCACTAGATACATAACAATTATTTAAACTTATTAGTTGAATATTTCTAATGTTATTAATATTTTATTAATTAATGTATCCATGTTTACTTTATAGTAATATCTCAATTAATTTATTTCTGCTTTAAATATTCGTGTAAATTGAATTTTTCGCAGAATGTATTTCCGCAAGAATAAATATTTATTAGAAAATATTCAAATATGTATGACGAAAGAATATTATTTCTGATAAAAGAACGTAAACATTTGGTAATTAGCGAAATGAAAATTTTTTAATAACGGCAAATGTAAATTTACATTACAGAAAAAAGTAATCATGAAGGAAGTAGACTTTTCCATGATTTATTACTTTTTAATGAAATAGATCTAACGTTACAGAAGTAATTTATAAATATTGCCACCCTTTCCAGTTTTGTGATATACTCCAGCATTATAGTAAAACGTTGATACAATTGTATTAAAATTTTGATAAGCATTTTTATATCTTCCTCACCTTATTTCAATCTTTTGGTCTAAAAAAGAGTTCTTATGACAAAAAAAAGAGGTGATCGTGAAAGTATATAATTATCAGAGAAATTATTGATATGATCATTTTTATCTTCATCCAGTCTTAAAAAAAATGATATCAAAAATTCCTTAGATAATATCTTACCTCAGTTCATTTGAAACAATAGCTGAGATGGAGTCGAATCATAAATTTTCTATCAAATGGCTGAATTAAACTTAATAAGGAGTTAATAAAAAAGCAACAAATTTGAACTAATCAGAATATAAATACTGTCTTGATATGGGTATTATCTTATTACGATTGCACAGTAAGCGTCTAATCATCATCGGAAATTCTCAGTCGACCCGTAACATGATTCTCTTGGGATTCCCCTGGAATTTTAGAGCTTCTCTATATATCCTGAAGATTCTCACAAGGATCTTGGGAGCCTGTGAAGAGACGTAACGCCCGTGAATAATGGATTCTATCACCCATACTTCTGTTCTCAATTCTCTCCATTTCTCTTATTCTCTGTCGTCGAATTTCAGGCCCTTCGTCCAACAGTTACCTTGTTGTCGTTCACATCTGAAAAAGAGAGAAAGTGATCGTAAGGAAAGAGGTTACTTTTGATGCCCTCTAACTGCAATCATAGAATATCAATGCATACATTATGAAAGAATACCCAACTCTTCAGTGTTCTCCGATCACTTCGTATGTGCTTTTAGAAGTGGAGATAATGCTGTGAACTCGATGGTTTTCAGCTGAGATTCAATCTCGTCTCTAAATTTTGAAGAAGTTCATAGCTTTCAAAGCAAATCTAGAGAGTAATTTCATTGTCTATTACTTATTACTTCTAGTTGAAAGTTACCTGTCTCTCAAAATTCTGCAAATTTATTGCCTCTATTTTAATTTTTAATACAGCTTATAATCGCGACTTTGTCCGTGCAAAACTTGAAAAAAATCTGCAAACTTATTAAAATCCTTTGATAAAAATAATAATTTTTTGATTGGAGTAATTCATATCCACCTTTACTGATATTCAAGATAACATTATTTTATATATTGTTATAAACAATACATCATTTTCGAAATAATTGAACATTAGTTGCAAATGATACCTTAGTAGCATTAATTATATTTGGCTTTATTTTTTTTATATTATCTAAAAATTTTTTGTGTTTTTTAAAATAAAAGTTGTCATAAACAATCAATAATTCGAAAAATAAAGCCTATGCTACTTCTGAAATCTTCTTCTTTATGAACTGCGAAGTTCAATCGGCATCGGCTCAACCGCTTCCGAGATTACTCTAGACAGACAGAAAAAAATTCTGAAAATGGTCATTTACGTTTTAACAGCATGCAAATAACCCTCTGAACTTAATTTGAGGCAGTTTATTTGACATCACAGACAGATACTCTAATTTTATTTATATAGATATAGCCCCTTCTTAATGCAATTTTAATTGCGACAAATTTAAATTCAAATGTGTGGCTTTAAATCGGTAGAAGTTTATTGTCGTAGAAAAAACTCTATGACGCAGACACTTTTTTTTCTTATGAATAATTCTTTTAGAATGTTCACTCTATTTGTTCAATTTTAAAACAGAGTATTCAAATTTTGTAATACTTATCAAAAACTCCCTATTATAAACTATACTTTCAGATATTTATTCATCTATTAGCAATATGAGGCTTGCCTATCATCTACCCTTGTAGCTAAATCGAAGTAAGTTTGACGGTAGACTTACGCATGTATCTACCGTTTTTCTGAAGCAGACAGACGTCAGATTTTCGTTAGAAAAATTTAACGTCAGAGATAAATGACAATCTGCTGCAGAACGGAAACAGGTGTACGTAAGTCTGATGGAAACTCTGGTGTCAGGACTGGCTACTACAGTAACTTCGAAGTCGACATTAGATGTGAGTGAGCCATCAGGCTTGAGATAGGTATACACATATAAGCGAATTTATCAACTATGTCATACATCAGCCTCCTTACTAGAAGAAAGCCTCTTTATTCTTGATTTTATAATGGATATTACCTCACTAAGAAAAAGTAATTGCAGAATTTCTAATTACTTGTTAGTATGGTAATATGGTCATCAATAACTCAAATAGACATTTTTTTAATATTATATTTAAATACAAATGAATTTATAATGTGAAATCTACTGATAATCCTTAACAATTGTGAGTAAAACTATTGTGCTTGCTTTCTAGTGGTAGCTTGGGGAACTATCTTTTCCAGAGTTGAGTGTGTGTATTCTAATCGAATAGAGAAATATAGTCAGATTAGATAATTGTGCTCTCCACTATCATCTAAGAACTTTATCTAGTCTATTTCTTTTATTTAATAAGTTAAAAATTAAATTATTTTGTGTATTAAACGATTTACAATAGAACACAAATATGTAGACAATAAATGATTGATTTTAGAAAATTAGAAAACATTCATAACTTATTTTTAAATTCATCTATAGACTTCTAAAACTCGACTACATATTCTTATAGTTTATTCAATAAGATTGTATACGGTCAGAAGAGATTTTTTAATAATAAAAAAGACGTCTTAACTATTAAAAATATTTTTTAATAGTTATAAAATTATATCTAAACTATTAAGGAATGGGATTAGGATTTAGTTTTATTTCATTCATATTTCTATAAATGAAAGATATGCATATGCATGAGGGTTTTCATTAGTTTAATTGATAAAAATTTCATACTTCTCAATAAATTTCTCTGGAAACGATTTCATTTCAATCCAGAGTTTCTTTACACTCAACTAAACATTTTTGTTTGAGAAATGTTCAATTATTTTCAACAAGTTTAACTAAAATATTCAGAAAGTCTCAATTTTTAGACGCAACAACCGCATCGAGTGGTAAATGATACTCAAAGGCTAACTTCATGAAGTTCTCATTCAAGTACTTTTCATTGATTGAGGTCGCCTTTGTGAGTATTTGGTCGATGGATATGGAACTTAATTTACGCACTAACCCCTAACTCTTTAGTTAGTAAAGTTTACTCTTTACCGCTTAGAAACGCTGAATGGTTGTTTGAATGTTAGGGCAAACCTTAATAGTACAGTGATGAAAGCTTTATACAAATAGTTCTTCATTTGAAAAGTCTTTTTTTCTATATTGAAACTTTTTCATTTAAAATTAAAATTAATGTTAACTTTACTTGAACTTTTTGATGACAATCAATTCTATGAAAATTTATTTGTACATCACTAATCTTACCATATTCTAAAATAGACGGGTAATATAGTTTAAAAACAGAATCGTGAACTATTAAACACATCACAGGGTGGTCGACAAGGCCATGAATAATTTTTGTATATAATATTGATAACTTAATTAAATTTGCATTAAAATTTCTCAAATAAATAATTTATTGAAAAATAATTGACGTATTTTTGTTGCAGACTGATAGTAATATTCAACCGAAACAGCCTCTGGTGAGTACTTTTTCTCATACATTAAAGAGTTTTTTACAAGTAAATGGAAAAAAAAATTTTCTCGAAATAATTCGTAAAGAGAAATGTATGAAATAACATTTGCGTTGGAATAAAAGCGAAATACCCTTTGCATATATGTAAAGATATAATCTCTCCATTAAAGGGGATATAAATTATTCTAGAGATAGAGGTAATGGATTTTTCATTTGAAAATAATATTAAATCTTCAAACTCATCGGTATATTCGTCGAGATAGTTATAATAAAAAAAGTATAAAATGTCATTATTATTTTTTTCTTAATTCTGTAAAATAGATAAATAAATTAATCATTTTCCCAGTCATAACAGAAGATTCAAATGCACATTATAATAGTGAACATAAACGTTTTTGTGGCCACAGACTGGCTAAATCCTTTAGCTTTTTTTTATACTCCTAGAGATTTCGGAGCAATTTATCGTTTTAACAATACAATCCCGGTGGCTGGAATATAGAGCGTTGTTCGTTATCTCGAGACTGTGGCGCTCGATTTATCTTCATACATAAATAATTTATAATCCGGGTGTGGAGAAACGAGGAGTGTGAGCAGAGGGTGAAGTACGTTAGCGAACATTGCGAAAAGTGCACGTTCCTCATGTAACAACAACCTTCAACCTTTACTCTCGCTAGTTTCTCAGCCGAACAAGCATTGTAAGGGCTTTCAAAAGGAGGTAAAAAGTTTTCGACGCTCTACTAGACCGTTTTCTCCATCTACTTGATAAGTTTACTTACATATCTTGTGCGCTCACTTATTTTCCACTTTCATTATCTTTACTTACTGGCTAAAATTTCATCCCGAATTAAAACTCCACCTCTTCGGTGAAATAATCTTCACCACAGAGTATCGTTTTTTTTCTCATCTTCAAAAATCTTGTCTTATTTACAAAGATTAATGGTTAATGAAATAATTCTTGCGTAAATTGTTGCTCCGAACGAGAAGCATTTCCATTTCAATTGATTATGCACTTCATAAAGTTGGAAAAATAAACATTTGTTAAAATTACTTTGAATTTGAAGTAGTTGTTTTACTGAATGCGTTCTCTTAGGATTATTTTGAAATTTAGACAAATTATTGAAATAATCAATCACCCACATGTGCAGACTGAAATTTATGTGCAATATAGTTTACAAATCCATATAAATTTAGGCGTTTAGTGAAAAAATATTCAAAATATTTAGTAATTGAACACTGCAGTCATTACGATGTTTAATACCATAAGCAAACTATAATATTTCGGTAAATGCCTAAAAAAGTTTACAAGTCACTTATAAAGAACGCTATAGTTTGTTTAAAACGTTTAACACGGTACACATTTTAAGTGCTCAGTTACTAAACACTTATCTAACATCCATATAGGTTTAATGAGCTAAAGTAGTTTTGTAGACACATTTTATGCATATAAACGTGTGTAACGAATTCACACAGTTAGTATAGTTTTATAATGGCATTATACATGATGCACACATTACAAGAACAAACTTTAAACCTATGCAAGTCATTTAATTGGACTATAGTTTTATTTCAGTTTATTTGTTTTGTATGTTTTATTTATTGGTAAATAAAAAGAAACTATGCTGTTGACATTATTCTTTTGATTCAGAAAAAAAGAATACACTGCAAATCAAAGTGTGTTATTCTTATAGATACTTTTAATACGCTAAGCCTTTTCAATGTTAAATGCCGTAAACAAACTATAGATTTTTCCTACACTGTGAAACGTTTAAAAAGTATTCACAAATCATGTAAAGTTTGTTTATAAAAATTTTACATTGAACACACTTTATGTGTGTTATTTTAACACATTTGTGAAATCTTGGGATTTGCAGTGTATAAAAAGTTAAACCGTTCTGATGAAACAAAAAACTAAATTCTCAAAGTTATTTTCTATAATTTTCTTACATAAGCTCTTCTTAAATAATAAAAAATCACAATTTTTTTTACAAAAGTCACTAAATCAACTTCAAAGTGTAAACACTTTCTTGCAAATGAGAAATGTCAACACAGACAGTGAAGTGGTATCTTACACAACAGTGAGCTTAACAACTGGACAATAATAAATTATTATTTGAAAAAAAACATCAACCACTTTTTTTCAATTTATTGTCTTTTTTTGAATATATCTACAATATTTACTCTAAAGATAGTTTCTTAGATACATCGAAATTACATAATTTCACGATATTCGAAAATTCTTACACAACTGTAAAATTTCCATATTTTATTTTGCACCATCAGTATTCGCTATTTTTTTTAATAACTGTATAGACAGAACTGACATAGATTCCAACTAGAAAAATAGAAAAAAAAAGAGTAAAGTCAACAAACCGCAAGTTCAGTGAACTTAAGTGAAATTAATCTTACTTTTTTGAGTAGAGTGAAATGATAAAAACATGAAAACTCTAAGATAATATTTTCTGATGATTGAGATAAATGTAATTGAATAGATAGTACGAATGGTAAAATAAACAAAAAATGTTAGTCATAATCAATTATATAATTAATTATTTGTTTCCCTGAATCCTTAGTACTTCATTATCCGGCTGGCTATTCGTTTTAATAAATAACAAAAGCTCTCTCCAGTGAATCTACAGGAGGTATTCAACTGATGATATTAATACTTGATTCGTTGGTTGCTGGGTAGCAACATGCCTGCGCCCATATCTCTAAATGTAGCGCCACCTTTACCACCCATCTCTAGCACTCCCTTTCTCTCTTTCCTATTTTTTCCCTCCTTTTCCAACTCCCGCACCTGCGCTGCTTACACCGTAAGTCCTTTACCAGCAATAATTCTTTGCCTAGCGACAGGAGCTGAATAGACACGCCGTTGAAGTTGAGCTATTCATTTATCGATTGACATCAAATATAGAACATCAATTCTCTGTATATAATCATTCATTCCCTAGTAACAACGACGATTCCCAATTACTCAGCCACCACAAAAATCTGTGATTCCATCGCATACTTCGCTATACTCTTGTTTCGATAGGCTTGCTAATTTTTGCGCTTAATCCGACTTATCTTATCAACATGCCTTTGTTCGCAACATTGTTCCCTTAATATTAAGCTACAATAGTTTTATCAGAAATGGCTTTTTTGCTTTCACAAACTTTTTTAATTAATTTTTGTAAATAATAAATTAATAGAAGGTCATTTTAATGGCATTAAAACAAAGATATTCTGTTTGATATATTTCGTCTTTTTAAATGTCAATAAATTAAAATATATTCTCACATTGTTTGAAATTAATTGTTCAGGTGCCAAATATTATGAATGAGTTGTGTCCTGTGAAATTGTTTTTTATTGAAGATAACATATGCAATTTATTCGGTGAAAGGTACAGGAAAATGACTCGATGATAAATTAAATGATCATTCCTTCTCTCTGTATTACTTTTAGTCGTTATTGTGGCATTGTTATTTCAGTGACATTTAATTTTTCATCTTTCTCGTTTTTTGAATTCTCAATTTAAATTTTTTTCCATCAAAATATCCAGTTTTATATGTTTGTTGGGATTTTGAAACAGCATTATGATGCTTCTACTGGTATTACAGGTATCAACGTTTTTTTAGCTTACCCTTTTTATGCATAAAAACATTTAAAATAAATTCAATAATTTAGGACGATGGTGCCTGGGAAATATCTGAACTTTTAGTAGACTTGTAAACATACTGCTTTATTTTGCACGCTCTTCTTACATTCAAATGAGAATAGCGACAAACTTGTTGAGACGACAAAGAAAGAAGAACTATGTAGAAGTAGATTTTCCGACACGGTGTTTCTCATTGAATGCTAGAAGAAATTTATAATGTCTGTCGAGTTTTCCTCTTTTGCCAGGCGCCAAATACTTGCGAACTAGTAGAATAAAGCCAGAAAAGACGATAAAGGTGGGGTTTTACCTCGAGACTTTTTGCAACACCGCAGCAGGATATTTAAATAAAATGCCGTTGGCCCATGCACCAGGTACCATAGCAGTACGAGCTATTGCTCTCTTTATTGGTTAGAACCGTGTCGCGATGTCAGTGTGCTTAATATCTACATACATATATATTAAAGCCTCAGGTACGTATACACAAAAGCTTCATAGTATCCCACTGTATAGGGATATTGTACGTTCCCACTTTTCGCAATAATATCCGTCACTCGCCCTGAAATTGAAAATCCTAACTTCGTCTTATTAATTTCATCAAAGACTAAGTTGTAATGAAACATAACTTTATTATCATGCATTTCAAGCAAGACTATTAACAAGAGATTATACTGTAAACCTCAATTATTTGTTAATAATTCTATAACAATTCCAGCTTTCAGTATTGAGAAATATTTTCATGCAAAAAACAATTAGATTGTAATATATACAGATGTTGGTTATGTTTGACGTAATATTCGTCATCGATTTATTCAGATATTGATTAGTTGTTGAAAAAATAATAGTAAGGAAAATTTTTAATTTTTAACAAAAAAAATAAAATTTTTTAAATGTTAAACTGTGATACGATGCTGAACGCGTCTTTAAGTTGCCGCCAGTTACATAAAATGAATTGGTCATCATTAGAATCTTTCATCCAATAAAGAATTGGTCTTTCTTGTAGGTAAACTTGAGTCTTAAAAGGTGTCTTAGTGAAGGAATTACTTAAGATTACTCAAAAATCACTGTTAAACAGAAATATTTTTACTTCTGAATTTCGAAACGTGGGCTTGTCATTTTTGCATTTACATTTAGTGAAAAAATTCTCTCCGCGTAGGCAATAACTACACGGAGAAAAATAATCAGAACTCTATTACTGGACTAATCAAATAAACTTATTCTAGATAACGTTATTAGAATTCTAGTCAAATTTTATAGATAGTATGAAACAGTTTCTCATACTTTCTGATTAACAGTATCAGAATAACCTAACTACTTGTTGCTTATTTTTCTAAACCATTAATTTTTTCAATGTACTGTTAAATAATTTTATTAAA